AGCAGGAATACTCTCTGGAGTAATGTGCCATGGTGGGCTGACCCCAGCAGCTGAGCCAGGGTTCCTTCCCAACCAGCAGATGCCACCACTGCTGTAGAAAAGCCATCATGTTCTGCTTCTTCAAGGAGGCACCAGGCTGCAGCCAGGAGAGCCAGCCTGATCCTCCTGCTGCTCGTGAAACAGGCAGGACATTCATCTAACACATGGTCACAGGTCAGCCACCCCCATGCTCCCACTCCACCGATTTTAACCACAAAGTCAACAGCAGGCTTTTCTTTGTAAGAAACAGGCTCATGGCAAAGCTCGCATCAGTTGCACAGCTATTCCCCAACCTTCCTGTGCTGCATGCTACCAGGAAAAGCAATATTGTTTGGGATGTGCTGCACCTACGTCCTTCAGTACACCTGCAGAGAGACAGAAAGCGCTTACAAAGGACTCGAACTTGTTTGAGCAGGGTCCCCAAAAAGGGGCAGTGGCACCAGCAGAGACCAAACTGTACCTACAGGGCAAGAATCACGCAGAAAGGCTGCGGCAGACCAGCCACCCCAAGGAGCGCCGAGAGGAGCCAGGCAGGCTGCGCGCGCACACGGTACCAGAGCTCCTCCATTTCTCTAATCAGACTTCGCAACAGATTTCAGGAAATGAGGTTGGGCTGCTCGCTTTATCCCTCTAGAAAATGGGGTCACCAGAAGGGGGGAGTGATGAAAAAGACAGGAAAGGACCGATAAACATACACTCTCTATCCTCTATAATCTGTCCACCTGCCTCAAGGCAGCAAAATAAGAGAAAACAGAAATAATCTGCTCTCATTATGTATGTGCAAGCCCTTCTGACAACAGATTTACTGCCCTTGCCTGCACAGGGACCATCACACTCTCACATAAAATTTGTAAACACGGTTTTAAACAAGTAGCGGTCCACAGCGAATGCTCACCTCTGCACCACACAGGTGCGAGCCCAGCACCCCCCTGCTTGGTGCTCACCGTAATGTGAGTTTGGGATGCTGCTGCAAGCCAATTTACTGGGGAGAAAAATCTGAAGTAGTCTGCAGGGACTCAAAGATTAAAGGGGACCAAACAGCCTTCTCCACTCGTAGTTCCCATTAAACAAAACAAGATCCATTGGGAGGAAAAAAGTGACAAAACATGATCCAAAAAAATGATCTTAAGCCTCATCAGGTATCAGCCTGATACCTCTTGCCCTCCTTCAGCAGAAAGCCTAGTGAATTATTCGTGTTACACCAATTTATGAAATTTAACACTAACCCCTGAAAATACAATGGACATACTTGCAGATCCTGGTCTGATACCTAAACACTCGACATTCACCCAGCAGATATCAGGACAAGATGGCAACGACCTGGAGAAGCCTAGTTTAGCTGTGCTAGAAACCCACTGCCCCCGAGTCACAACCTTGTCGATTCACCTGCTGACACGGACTAGCCTAGACCACAGACACTCTCATAACCAGGTCTCTCCTTCGCATCACTAAACATCCTTCAGCTGAATACCGTGGCACAGGGTCCCGCTCCCACCAACTTTATTTCAATTCCTGGTCTTATACTTCTCCCATTAGATTTACAGAACACTAGTTTCTTCATCAGAGCACCCTGCACTCTTTTATTTTTAAGAAAGCTCCAGGCTGAGCCATCTCGGGGCGCTCACAAGGCAGCTCCTCGCTGTTGGATACCAGCAGAGCCCAGCAGCAGGTCTCAAGGAGCACTGCTCTGCAGACCCAGGCCCGGCATCAAGCAGGGGCATTGGAGCTGGTCCATGAGGCCATGACTTGAGTCCATGGTCCCAGCTAACAGTCAGCCATTGCTGACAGGATTTAGAGGGTCATCTAGAATTAGGAAAAATTAATATTCCAAAATATCCAAAACATCCAGAGCAAGGAGAGAAGGCTGATATTCACAGCAGCTGTGTTTAGCTGGAGACCCAGCCCACAGCAGCTGTGTTTAGCTGGACAGACCCAGACAACATTGTAGGGAAGAATTTAAGACAGACACATGGAGACTTCCTTTGCAAACATTACCTTTGTTAAAAAAATTACACTGAAAATTAAATTTAGGCCTTAAATTACTGTGTCGAGTTCCAAACTGAAAATCAATCACTGAAGCGTGAAGCAGAGATTTTAGTCCAGTCTTAAGTGGTTATCTCACTACATCTTTTCTCTAGAACTGCTATCCATGGCTCCACAGTAACACACCTGCCTTTTAATGGCCTTATTCATCCTTCCCATTCCCTCCTGCACCCAGCTTTGCATGCCAAGGTGACAACGTCCAGTACCACCACTGAGGAAGAAGGGCTCCAAAGGCAGTGCAGGTCGCAGCTCATTCTTCTCAGCAGTGAGTTGACCAAAGAGGGACAAGAGAAAGAGAGGTGCCGAAACACACACACACTCCTGCCCCCAGCAGTATATGGTCCTCCCTGCACTAAGATATAAAAAGGTATGCTATCATCAGGCCAGCATTAACACTTTTCAGTCGTCATGTTAAGAGCCAGCTGCCTTATCTGGTCTAGTTTGTTTTAGTGAAGTTAGCCAACAGGTGCTACCACTGCACTTTAAGTCCTAGTCTAGACAGAATTGAAGACAAAAGGGTCTTTAGTATTGCTAGGAGGAAGTGAATCTAGTATTTCAAGTAAAAAAGGGGACATAAGTAAGGACTTCAGGAACCCAGGCTAGTATTTCTTATCACCTCTCTCTCTCAGTGTCACCAGCGCATCACTCCAGTCTAGACCCTCACTAGCTTTTACTGATGTGTGTTGCTGGTGATGCGTTGTCCTACAGTGAGCCGCACAAGCCCGTAACACCCCACAGCAGAGCGAACCCCAGGGATTCGCAACAACCATGTGCCTTGGGCTGTAACTGTGTCATTCCTCGTCTCAGAAGCACCTCCATGATAACTGTTCTGGTTTCCTCGACACTCTCGCAGCCTGAGTGGACCAAGGATAAAGAGCTGCCTGTGGAGACAGATCACAAGATGTTGGAAGTGATTCAGGAAGCACTACAAAATATCAGATGCAATTCCCTCACAAGAGGCTCTGCTATAAAAACACTCCAGCAATAGCAGCGTGTTCCCAGCATTACTCATGCTTCCTGCCATCGCTGCTACAAGTGGGTTTGTTATTACTTAAACTTCTGCATCTGCTGCTCTGTGAGATGTTATGTGCTTTCCTCCCAATACACCCTGAGATGCTGGGGCAGCAAAGCAATCCGAGACAGGCAAGGTGTAAAGGAGGAGCAACAGACACGCAGTGTGGAACAGCCAGTACTAAGGAACACAATTAAATCCAAGTCAGAGGCGCTGACTCAAATAAACAATTTAACAATTTGA